CGCGTGCCAAATGTAAATCACGGGTTTAACGCTTTATTGTTTTTGACTCAATGGATCTCGTTTTGACTCGTTGGATCTTTAATCAGCAAACGTATTGCACGATTATTCTTTATTCGGTAGAAAATACTACTTTCATTAAACGTTGAATGGATGGAATTGATGGAATCGATCGTTTAATTTCACTAATACAATCGTAAATTTACGCCATTTAATTTGAATTTATGATTAAAATATGTAATTACACATCAGAATGGCATACAATTATAAATATTCTATTAAATATTAACAAAGTAAAAGAATGGATTTTATTACAAAGGACCAATTGGAACATAACTTGTGTTATTGTAAAAAAATAGGGATGGCGAATTTTCAAGCTCAATTTTCTCGAAAATAAAGGTTTAATGAAAAAATTTTATTCTTTCTTTTCGATTTATTTTTTCACGTAGAATTTTCTGTTAGATTATATCATTAGTTACGGGACAGCCTGTATAATAAAATTATAATTGCAAAGCTACGTTAATGATAAATTTGTACATTTCTACTTTATTCTCTGTGTAAGAGTCGTTGACACGATTTAGATTAATACGGCAAGAATTTGCGATATATAGATTTTTACATAGGAATAGAGAAAACAAAATACTGAGCCGATATCATCTTAATTATAGCTATGTTATTTGCTGATGAATTGTTTTCATATAAAATCTATTTTACACGTATTCTTTACATGAATTATTATAAATATTTCTTTTTCAAAATTTTATGATTTTCAATTTGCATTTTATATTTAAGTTGGTTGGTGTATATGTCTATTGTTAGATCGCATTCTCTCGAATCTGAAATGTTGGATGAACGTATTGTATTTACTTAATTTTATAAATGTGTCGTATTGTAAATAGCATAATTATATATGTAATAATTAACCATTAAATGTTTTTTACCATAAAATATAAGCGGAAATCATCTATATATACTTGATATATTTTTCAGTGTCTAAAAGAAATCGAGAAAAAATTCATATAATATCATCAATTTCTAAATAAAGCAAATGTTATAATTAAAAAAATCATAATTTTGAAAAAACTATGATAGAATACTTATTATCTATTTTATTTAGAAACACAATCTTATATTAATATATTTTTATAGAAATAAACACGTTAGTTCCTATAACTTTTTTATTTGGTTAAAACATTAAAAACATTAAAAATTACATAGATATATCAACATTAATACAAGACAGTGTGTCTACGAATGTATCAGTACATAGAACCCTTGTCCTCGGGTAATAAAAAATGGATCACCACATCTCCCCGAGATGTTTTCACGATTTCTCGGTGTTTAATTAAGAAAATTGCTGCCAATCCATACATTAATGTAGGTATACCTAATAAAAATAAAAATACAAAATAATATCATCATATACATCATATCGATGAAATTTCGCCGTGTTCTCTATTTTCAAATGGAGAAAGTGTCAATGAAAATAGGAGCAGACGGATTGTAAAATGATGGCAACGATGTACATGTCGCGATGATATGTGCGCTTTTACTTTTCAGATAGATAAGTATGTAAAGATATGTACGTACCAAGGTTCAATAGCTTGATCGCCTTGAAAAATTTGTCCTCGAGGTTAAGGTCTTGTTGTGGCCTTTTTGTACAGTGATATTTAATATATGGGAAACAGCCAGTTCTAAGTACGTGATAATTGCTGTTGCCTACTGGCCAATTGAAGTGAGACATCCCTTTTTGATCATTGACAACATCGGTATATTTAACGAAATACGACGTCCATGGTGGCTCATTTGTTTGCAGCAGGTAACTCGTCAAGACCTATTTATACCGTAATATGTCGAGTAATTTTGTACATTCCTTCGTCCATTTGTGGGACAATTATTCTTTCTATGATTTACAGTTATTTACAGTTACGCACAAGATATTATCGCTATCGTTATGCACTGATAGTCTCGATTGCTGGCGCGCGTCTTGTTCATATGAAATATGAAAACGTCGAATCAAACGACGATTTCAAAAATTTAGCAATTACACGAGATGAGATAAATAAATATCTTATATATCCGTGCTTCTTGAGTATAAACCGATTCTTAGGATCTCATCGATTGGAAGACTCGCGAGAATTCTTACGGTCATCGATTGTAATTTAATGGGAATGGAAATTCTTAGAAATATTATTCAGTTTTGTGCAACGTTGTTGAAAGAAAATATGTATGTACGTGATTGGTAATTGAGGATCGATCGGTAATAAAGAAATTTGATGTAAAAGCCAGTATGAAACTTGCCTCGGACGCTAACGGCTTGGTCTTCTTGGAAATAATCTTTAGCCAGGTACCATATGGACATACGATGAGCGTCCTGTGCGCGAACAATGCTTTTATAATCATTCGGCGAATGAAATTTTTTTCAGATTTTGATTACTCAAGTTCTGTTAAGGAATTTTATTTCTTCCCTATTTTCTCGAGCTTTTGATGAGAAAAAGTATCTGTAATTATATAATTTGTTCGAGTTTAATCTGCAATGCTATTGTTAATGATTTTATAATTTTTTTTTCATTTTTTAAATAATGAATAGCTATTTCTGGCTGGACAAATTCATCACGCTTAATTTTTGGAAAATTTAATTTTCAAAAAAAAAAAACATTTTCAATTCTAAATCTATTTTGTGTTTGAAAATGATGATCTCATATTATAAATATTTAAGCATTTTTAATTTATTAAAGTGATTGGAACCTCGATTTGGCGCCAATTTTTTCGAATATTTTTCAATTTATTTAAAATTAAACATCTGATGACAACTTGCGCAATATAGTAAATAATTTTTTTTCAAAAGTCACCAAGCAAGAATGGTTTACAAAAACAGTTTGATTAATAAACAGGAAGCAAAGTAAATAATTTTATAAATCGCATGACATCACCAGTGATTCTCAATAATGTTGGTTCTATCGTACAGCCAGTGCAATTTGGTACATGCGTACTATTGAGGGTTACTGATGATGTTGCACATTTCGCGAAACTATTTTATTTTTTGCATTGAGATTAAACTGTTTTTCTGTTTTTACTTGTTGATTTCTGGAAAATACATCTGCTCCATCATGTGCTGTAGTTGCATTTTATGTCAGACCGTTAGTTTTTAAAATAAATTAAAAAATATTTCATTCTCTCAATAATTTTACTAATTGTTTAAACATATACAGTGACATATATGTAATATATATACATAACATATATGTAACATAACATATATACAATATATCGTTTTCGGAGATATGAAAAAGTTTTATTAATGAAAGTTATTCATTACAGAGGGACAATAATATGACAATGATATTTTTGTTTGAAGGATTTCAGAAATTTCAAAGTTATTTCTTTGTAGATGAAATAATATATTTTTTCATCCATTAATCGATAAATTTTCGATCATATGATTAATTTTACAAAATTAAAGATAAAATATCTCCTAAACTAATAATTTTTCGAGGTTAATACTTTTTTATAGAAAATCTCGAGTTGCATCGATTAATGGATGAAAAAATATATGATTTTAAAATCCTTCTATCTACGAAATGTCATTACTGCCATATTATGGCAGACTCTGTACTAAATAATTTTTGTTAATAAAATTTTTTCATATCGTCAAAAACACACGGAGACATTTAAAATAGACAAAGTTATTGGGACACTGTATATTACATATTGAATTTGTAAGAGTTTGTAGAATTATTTCTTATAAACGGAAATTGTATATTTTTTACCGTTGAAACACAAAACTGAAAGATTCAGAACTGAAAATTTTTTTACAAAATTGAAAAAAAAAATTCTAAATTTATAATTAGCACGCAATAGTTTATCAGACATGACTATTCGCTAATTGACCATTAATGATCACTAATGGGGCGACAAAACTTTCTCATCATGTAGAATGTAGAATGCAAGATGTAGAACACCGTATGGCGAACGTATGTGCAGGAAAGTAACCTGCGAGCCTGTGAGTCTGTTCAGTTCGCGAGTTTCTCGTGGCACGTTGTATTCTACCTTTCTAAAATAAACCTGTGGTGCGAGTGTTGCACAAAATGTCAAGGTTAACAAGAATCAATTCGATCAGTTGAAGAAAAATTATTTTGAAGTAAGTTTCGATGCGTTCATTTTCATTTGTGTTTACAAACCGTGAAAAAATAATGAATTGTAAATGATTGTACTAATGTATATAGAAATTATCATCAATAGTCTTACTTTTGAATCTTTGTAGTATCATTAATTCGATAATGGAACATGATTCCTAATTAATAAAATATTTTAATACTAATTGTTAAGTATACGAATTATTCTGTATAAATTAACTATTACTATTTACTGCTACTTAAAATTTATATAAAGGAATAAAATTTGAAAGTATAATAATAATATAATAAATAGATTTTATTTACATTTTAACATTCACGTTTAAGAATATTTAACTAATCTATAATTCTTGCTTTATAAAAAATTTTTATTAAAAAAAATTGTTTATATATCTTTTTCAATTGATAATCTAAATTGGCTATTTTAATATATGTTAATTACATATTAAATTTTAGTTACATGTTAATTACATATTAATTTTAACATCGCAAGTGTGCTATTATTAAATGCACCTAGATTAAATATAGTATTATGCAGAAAATATATTACACTATGTAATCTAATATGATATCTAATGAGAATTGTATACTAGTATACTAAATTTATATAATAAGTGCATTAAATTAGCGGAAATCTATTGATGTTGAATCAAAAATGAATCAAAAATAGGCATACCTAGTTTTTTTGCAATATCTTTATAAAAGTAAGTGGTATATTAACAAAATCTGTTGCTATAAATAAATGACTATGTACAAAAATAATTTTCAGTTTTCAATAATGAATGCACAGTAGCAATTTCATCAAACAATATAAGAAATATAATAATTCAAGAGTCAAAAAAATGTTGACACACCTGTAATTTCAGTGCTTAATCTATATTCAATGGCTGAATGTTATTAGAAAAGTTATAGAATATCCTTTTGTAAGTACTGTACTCGAATCATATCCTGTCAACATAAAAAAATATTTTACATTCTGTTATGTCTTACATAAATAATAGTTACTGATGTTGGTGGAATATGATTCTATAATATTCCATATTTACACAAGAATATTTTTTTGCTTTTCTGTCATTAAATATAAATTAAGCACTAGAATTACAGATGTGTTAATAGTTTTTACTCTTGAATTTTTATTTTATTATTTTTTATATTTCTTATATTATTATATCATGATATCTTTTTTTTTATTATTGTATGATTTGTTAGAAATTGCTATTGTGCACATTATTTTTGCAGTAAATTATTTATAGACGCATTTTGTTAATGTATCATTTGTTTAATGTATAAAAGATATTGCAAAAAACATTTTTTGATTCACTGTATTTGAAATATCGCGGTCATTCCTTGAGCGTTGCTAAGATAGCGCTGTTACTCACGTTTCGTCGCATGCGCAAGCACTTGCACTCGGGTTACAAAGAAATGTATACGATTCAATATGTCGCATAGATAGATACTTTGGAATTCACTTGTTTTTAATATAGATATCTTTGTTTATTTAGTGACATTCTATATATTCGTAGTTTTGTATGTATAACATGTATAGATAGTGGATACCTACATATGTATATGTC